CAGGGAAATCCAGGCATAAAACAGGGGATGTGAACCCAACATCCCTTGGGATGACAAACCCTGGAAGGAGAGACTTTTATTTTCTCTTAACCTCATAACAATGAGGCCCTTTGCACTCCCTTTTACCCCCTTAGGTCTCTGTTGGGTTTTCTGATGGGCTGGTGTTGCCATGGAGCCCAAGCAAGGGGCAGCGGAACTGGAGCAGCATTAATCCATTTGTTTGCCCAGCTCTTTAGGTCCCTGTGTGCCCTGATAAAAATAAAAGCCCCTGTCCACATCTGGGGATTAGGGGCAAGTGGTCCGCCAGCCAGGCAGCTCTTATTCCCTCAGTCTCCAGTGGCCGAGTTGTGCTGACCACCCCATTAGGTGGTCACTTGTACCAGTTTTATGATTCTAAAAGTTCTCACTATTTTTCCCATCTTCCTCCTCTTCTTTGGAGAGAGAGGTGGGAGAATAGATGTCAAACGGTTTGTGAATTAGGATTTGTTCCAGTAAACAATTATATCTTCTGACAATGTTTCTGCAGCCTTTGTCTCAACAATTTAGATCTGCCAGAGGCTGCCAAGCCAAACAGTTAGTTTTGGCTGCATGCACTCTCCCTTTGCTGAAATATTACACATTCCTCTCCAGTGAGTGGGGAATAAAAATAGATCCTGGGCTCAGTTGTGGTCTTTCTGTTTTTAGAACGGACGTGGCCAGCTGAGACCTAGTTCCCCACATGGGATGACCCATGCCCAGTCCTGGCTTTGCTGGACTAAATCCTCCTGGTGCCTCTACCTTGGGCTTCAGCAAGCACCTGGGCATTGTAGGTGGGGCTGTCAGCATTGCTACCTCAAGGGAAGAAAGCTTCTGCTTACTCCCTTCTCACAGACTACTGAGTTGAACCCCTGCCCTGACTTCCTGTCGGTACCCAATGTGGATGCGCTGGAGTCTCTTGACCATCTGCGGCCTTTTGCAGGCAGTGTCCTTCAGCTGGGCCCCATAAGTGTTGCTCAGTGTGGCGGGACAAGGCTGATATTATTTCTTTTCCCAAAAAGCTCTTTCCGCACACCTGCAAAACCAGATATTTTTCCCAGAAACAAGAAAATCACATCTGTCTACTTTACACCCTCCTGGACCCGGTACCTGCTCTGAGCCCAGGTGGAGGGGGTGCAGTCCTCTTTGCTGGTCTGAAGATTAAGTCAACAGAAGCACCTTAGCTTTTCAGAACAGCCCCTGGGATGTAGCCAGGGACTGCCCCTGCAGCCTGGCTGTTGCACAAGGCAGGATTGTCCTCCTGACCACAGATCTGTTCCAGGGTCTGAGGACACAGGTGTCCAGGGCCCTCCTCCCAAAGGCATCTCCAAAGGTGGGGAGGTCAGAGTTCCCAGCAGTTCTAGGACTGCAGACTCTGAGAGAGGCCACAGGACAGGGAATAGGCTGGACCATGATGCCTGTGGGGAATGGCGCATCTCAGATTCCACGAGTCCATACTGGGCACCCAGGAAGAGGGTTCCAGAGTAGCATTCACCCCACTCTGCTGTTCCGGGGACAGATGCTGTATGTGCTTGCGAGGGGGACAGGCACTATGTGCTACATCCCTGATGACTAGAGGAAGGCAGCAGAGGGCCGGAGTCCACAAGGAACCACTGGGAATCCGGCTGAGGCCCGATAACATGTGGTCATGGAGGTAGAGCTTTGCTGACCGCAAAACACATAGAACTTGAGAGAAGAGCAAAGTAGCTCACATTTACTGAGCACTTGCTACATCCCAGGGACTGTTCTGAAAGCCTGAGGTGCTTCTGCTGACTTAATCTTCACAGGTAAAAATGATGATTATTCCTTTTTGCTAAAAGTTAAGGGGATAAAAAAATAAATAAAAATTAAGGGGAACAAATCCAACATTGAGATCGGGTAGCTGATAAGTGGGTTTGGCCATTTACTGTGAGGAGGAGCAGGTCTCAGCTCTAAAGGGAAGGAAACCAGCAAGTGCAAGGTGCCTTTGGGCAACTTGGATGGGTGTCTAGTGGACTGTGTCTAGGGAGAGAACAACTCACAGAAGCAGGATGACTAGATCTGCTGGAGAAGCGGGCACAGCCAGCAGGGAGGTAAACTCCCTGGAGTCACAGAGGGGAAACCCAGGAAAACCTAGTTTGTTTTATCAAATTTTTGTTGACGTTGTAGTGCATTAGGACAGCTTCAGGTGTGCATCATTGTGAATCAGTGTCTGTGTTGACTACGTAAAGTTCAAGCCCGCTTTGAAATGGCAAAGGGAGCTGACATGAGAGGTGTATTTCCATGTGGCCTGCAGGACTGAGCATCTTTCAGAATGAGCTGAGAGCCACTCTTCACCCCATCCTGGTGCTGTGAGCACAGGCATCTTAACTGATGATACCCCAGGGTAGAATCACACTCCTGGGGGCACAGTTCTTCCACAGATCCTGCCCAAGCCCAGGTTCCTGGGCAGAACATGAAATAAAGATAGGAAAAAAGTTCCTCCTCTTACCCCTTCCCACAGTTGTGTGCTTTAAATGCAAATGACTCCTTTTGCTCAGGGTGAGGAGTGAGGAAGAAACCCAGTCTCAGTATTGCTGATCGGGGAGGATTATTTTTTAAAAGGAGACTGTAATCATATTTTATTTGCGAAATAAAAAAATAAAACATGATTAAGGAAAAGACTTAGAAGCAAATATACCAGAACTGTTTTCCTACTGTAAGTTCTGATTTCTTCCCCTAAAGCCCCCCGCCAACCAGATAGCCACTTCTGTGAGCAGTACCCTCTCTTCCTACAGTTGTCACCCTCCCCTGAGCAGCTGTCTGTCACATGGCTCCAACTGCCCCAGGAGGCCTGGAAACAACCTCTGTCCTGTTCCAGGGCATCAGGTCCAGCTAAGTGTTGCTTAGGTGCCTTAACAGTGGTCTACTGGGACTACCTTCTCTCCTCAGCAGCCTGGGCTTGGCTCATTGCTGCCCCCCACGTAGACAAATGTTCTGCCTAGCCTTCCAGAGACTTCTAAGCAGAGATCCCCACTGGAGAAATTGCTAGTCCTAAAATAAGTGTGGGTTTTGATGAAGTGCTCAGTTTTAAGTGCTTTCCTTACTCTACAATTTCTAGATCAAAGTCAGCTCTGTTCTCTGAGTCTGAGTTCTTACTTCTGAGCTATCTTTAGCTATTTGCTTATTTAAGAAACCATCATCTCTGCGCCCACAATCTCCCGGTATTTTATGGTGGAATTTGGAAATATGCAGAGTATTGAGAATGATTCACAGTGCTTTAAAAATCATATCACATCATTGATATACTTATAGGACCCTGCTGAGGACAGGATTCTCTGGTCTTGAATGTTGTCCCTGGTGTCCCCTGGCTTGTTAATGTGATGCCCAGTGCAGTTCAGAACTGGAGTCACTCAATCCAGGTTGACCCTCCCAGCTGCCTTCTCTCCTAATGGATTAGTGGCCTAGAACCGTTTACTCAAATGCACCAAACCTCCAGTTTCTCATTTGCAGAGAGAAGTTAAAAATGAATAAAAACACCACACCAAAGCCCCCTACAATAAAAAAAGTGCCTCATGTCCTTTTTCATATTCAGTAACTGCAGTATATTCAGCAACTGTGGCTCTGAACCACAGCATCTGCCAGAACCAGGACTGTGAGGTCCTTTTCTGGGGGTTTATTTCTTACTACCTTGAGCTTCAGAGCAGCCTGTGCTTGCTATTTGAACTTGAGTTCTTCATGGCATCTCATCTTCTGAGCCTTGAGAGGGAGACTGGCCAACAGAATCCGGGCTTTGAGGAGCAATCTCAGGCTGAGAGAACAGTGCCTCTCTTGGGTTCAGGACCTGTATTTCTCAAGATCAGTGGTTGTTTTCCTACTTGCCCTAGCAGACACGCCCATGCCCGCTAGTGAGTCCTGGGAGGGTGCTGTGTGTAAAAAGTAAAAGACCTGAATCGGCTATATTTTAAATGAGGGAATGTGCATTAAAGCAATAAGAAACCACATTTTGTGCCTAAAGTTAGAACAGTCTTAAGTCTACACTCAGTGACAACTCAGAAGCAGGACTGAAAAGGTGGCTCTGATATACAGCATCAGCAGTGGGGCCTCTGAGAGACAGGCTTGGTGTCTGCACTGTAACCATAAGCAAAAGGCTTCGTATTTTGAGCTTTCATTTCCCAAAATTGACTCCAAGTTGGAGAGAACCATATGCAACAAAGATTAGAACCAGCAGATTGTTTGATAATAAGAAAATGGTTGGGTAGATGGTGAGGCAGCCGCTCATTGAATTATTTTGTACCCATTAAAAATGATTACGAACACCATAAACACCATGGATGATGCTTCTGAATAAGTGAAATAAACAGTACCCCAAATTCTATTCCTAACAAAACTGCAGCCTCTTAAAATGTGTATATGGGTAGGATGATACCAAAATACAAAAAGTGGTAGTGATTGGGAAGAGGCAGGCATTATGGAGGATTTTTTTCTTTTGATTCCCTGACTTTCTGTATTACAGTTTTATTGCCTTACTTTAAAAAATTAAAAAAAAGAAGTGGGTGAGGAAGAGAAATTTTCAACATTGACTTTAGAGTTGATTGAGACCGCAACTTGCTCGTTCCGCAGAGCTGGGGGTGACACCCTCCTAGTGGTCTGTCCTAAGAGAAAGTATGGGTGACCATGAGCAGCTCAAATTGTGACTGTTAGGGGTTGAGGCGGTTAGCAGCATCAGGTCAAGGGAAGCATTTCTGGGACACCAAGTGCAGGTGTGTGGGCTGTGCAGCTGCTGTGCAGGTGCGGGGGCCTTCACTCTAAGGTGTAACACTGTGCTGGCCGTGGTATCGAAACCTTGCTGTTTTAGGTAAACTGTGGCAGTTCTGCTGAGAGCCAGTGAGGGCAGATAGGAAGCTCCAGCATATGGGAAGCGGCTGGTGTTAATGCTGCTGGGAAGGAGGTGGGTGAGCTGGCCTACATGTACTGGTTGGTTATAAGCCTCCATTTCTTTCCCCGACCCTGTGTCTCCATTCTAGAGTCAGATGGAGTTCAGCATCTCCTCCTTATCCATCCAAGAGCCAAGCAGCGGCACAGCCACCAGCGACCTGAGGCAGCTGTCCAAAGCTGCTCAGGGCTCTCAAAACCTCCGATCCTCCCAGGGCAGCAAGTCCTCCAGCCTGGATGCTCTGGGTCCTTCCTGGAAGGACGAGGAAGCGTCCTTCTGGAAGATCAATGCCGAGCGGTCCCGGGGGGATGGGCCCGAGGCTGAGTTCCAGTCCTTGACCCCCAGCCAGATCAAGTCCATGGAGAAAGGTGAAAAGGTCTTGCCAACCTGTTATCGGCAGGACCCTGTCCTGAAGGACAGGGAGGCCAAGGTGGAAAGGCCAGGCAATCCCCGCCAGGAGCAGCGCATCCTTCCCAGTGTCATTGCTGAGCAGGAGAGACCCCCACCCGTCCAGGCCTGCACCAGTGTGTTGAATGAAGTCACCCCTTCTGAGCCCCTGCCGAAGCTTCCCTCTCCTGAGGCCAGGCGGGAGGACGTGGACGACATGGAGGACACTCTGTTCTCAGATCCTGTACCGACACAGGTGGGTGGCCTTGCTTTGGAGGAGCACAGGCAGGCACAGATGCCTAGCTTTCTTCTTCAGCCTGCACCCTTCTCAGAAGGTTTTTGGGACCTGGAGAGCTGGGTTCTTAGCTCTGCTACTACTCAAAAATCCTGAATGATCTTGAACCTATGACTTGGTCTGTGGTTGTATCCCAGATACCCACTGCCCTTCCCCAGGTGGGTCATCATCAACCAAGGCCCGTTCTGAAACATAATAACTGTTTTATTTGTTTGTTTGTTTGTTTGTTTGGTTTTATGTGTTCCTCCTATTCTAAGTCATAGCAGGACATTTTGTCTTCTCTTTGCTGTTTCATGCAAAACAGACCTGCTGGTAAAGAAATGGCCAGTGCTGCCTCAGAGAAGTAGGACAGCATCAGAAGCCACTCAGGCTATTTGTTTTCTGGCACAGTCTCTTCTTTCATGATGCACAGGTGTGCCGGGTGAGGATCCAGTGGACCCTCAGCTCTTCTTTGCGTCCCCTGTATTCCTGGGAAGAATTTTTTTTTTAAGGACATCTAAGCCTGTCCTGCTTGTAGACATGTCTGAGAACCATTTCAGGGAGGAAATTATGGACGACGTGTGCACCTGGGTGAGCAAACAAGATTCTGTGTCCTGTCCACACTGGAGATGGACAAGGCTCAGTCACATGAATGCTACCTGGTATTTGGAACTTTCTAGAGAGATCAGAGTCTTTGCTGAGCCAGAGGGATCAGGGAAGCATGGGAAAGGGATCAACACCTCAAGGGAGGAAACGCAGGGTCTCCCCTGGCCTCCCAGGAGTGCTGTCCTGAGATGTCGGCCCTAAGATGGGGGTATCCCGTGAGTAATGAGATCTTACTTTTCAACAAGCATGTCAGCGCCACTGTGGCCTGGAAGCCTTGCTATTTTCAAAGCAGCTGCTGGGAGGTTTTGCACCCAGAGCTGTTTCTAATAAGCAATGCTGAGCATCTATTCATGTGCCTCTGGGTCATGCGTGTCATCTTCTTTGGAGAAATGTCTGTTCACATCCTTTCCCCAGTTTCATTCTGTTGTTTTTTTCTTGTCGAGCTGTGGTCGTGACCTCTGGGTGTGTCCTGGAATGGCGTTCCGGGTGTTTCCATACTGACTCTCAGTTGATCACCATTTCAGTTTCCTTCCAGAAAGGGAGCCTTCTGAGGGGAGCATCCTTCATCAGCTCCACCTCAGCTTTCTAGCCACCTCCCTCCTTCAGGCTTGCCCATCACATAAGCCAGCACTTCCCCCCTCCCCTCACTGACTCCTCTGGCCACCTTAGTCACTTCTTTTTGTTTGTATCCTCAGTCTTCCTGCCGTGGCCCCTTACGGGTCAGCTCAGCTCACTGCTGTCCCTGTCTCGTGCTCATCCTCTGCTGTTGGGTCTTCCTCCGAAGGAAGCATTTATAACAAATATATGAGAGTCTTAACTGGAAAGAGAACAGGAAAGGGTATGGAAGGAGTGGAGAGTGGGAGTGAGCACATGCCATCCTTTGGAAGAGATTTCTGAGTGCAAAGCACAGTGAAATTGTCACTGGATTTAGGAAACCGGTGGGAGATCAGAAAAAGGCAGATTTGCCTGAACTCCTTGTTTTTTCACGTGTTGACTCTGTCACTCTTAGAACGCAGCAAAACTGGGTCTGGGATAGACTTGAGAGAAGTTGCTCAGCCCATTGCCTGCCATTACCTCCACATTAGCATTTTCTGTTTGCCAGTTATGCGGAACTTTGAGGTTTTCTGGCTCAGGTGGGGCTGCTTCCGCCAGGTGAATACCTGCTTGTGTCCCATGGGAGGAAGGGCGTGGCTTAAACTGCAGGCAGCTTGCTGGCCTGTCGCAATGTTTTTGAATACTGCAGCTGGAGCAGCTTGTGCTCACAGGGACCCTTTAAATTAAACCCACATCATTTAAGTGAGCCATCCTTGATCCGAAGAAGGGCTAAGGTAAGTCACTGCAGAACCTTCCACATAATCTGAAAGAAAGCTTTACCTCCTTTCCTTATATCCCCTCAACTTTGCAAATAATTTTTGTTTTGTCTGAGTGTGTTTTACATTACAAAGACTGCCTTTGTGATTTGTTCTCTTATTCCATGATGACTAAAACAGCCCCTGGAAGGCATTTAAACATGCCTGTCATTCAGAAATGGAAAAAATACATATTCTTCCTCACCTCCCCCCATCAACCCCCCAGACAGATAGATCTATAAACTGCTCACAGGCAGACCTGCAGATGGGAGGTGGGGTGTGGGATCCTAGCAGAGTGTAGCTTGCATTGAATTTTGTCTAATTTTCTGCTTCTAAGCACCAAGGCAAATTGAGGTCAGGGAGTCTCTCAGACAGAAACAGGTTGTTTCATTTGGGTCATTTTAAATGAGATGCTGTTTTTAGATGATATGCATAACTAAAAAAAGACCTCCTTCCTTAATTTGCTGTTTTTGTGCCCTTTACAGGTCAGCTCAAGTAATGTCGTCTTGAAGACGGGATTTGATTTTCTGGACAATTGGTAAAACACGTTAGACAAAAAAAATAAGACCATGAGCCCTAAAGTGTTTTCCAAAGTGGTGCGGTGGAGGGGGATCACGAGGGCAGCATTTCCTTGGTTCCTGTGTACTTTTAGTCATTTGGGAACTGCTAAATATTGCCCTGTCCAGATTTTTCCCCTTTTGGTAAGACCAGACATACATGCTCTTTTCAGTGATTTGATAATAGAAGTTTTACATTTGGAATTTTTAAAGACTGAACTAGGAATTCAGTAAATCTTGTAGATAAAACTTCTGTTGCCAGCTCCACCTAATTTTCCTGAACCCTCCTCAGTGGAAATGTTTTCTCAACCACCACGAAAATTGGAAAAGTGATTTTATGATTTATTCCTTCCTTTTTCAAATGTATGGGGTTATCTTTATTGGGTGATGATTGGTGATATCCTCAGCAATAATGACTTTGGCATGCTGGTTGGGACCAAGGCAAGATCTGTACCCCACGAAGTCTCACCCGAGGCTCCCAGCTTCCCAGGGCTTTCCTGGCTTAAGCCAATTCCCTCAAATTATGTGCCACTTCATGTCTATTCCAGGAAACAGATGTTGGCATGTGGCAGAGTTTGTCTCTAAGCTGCCCTGATAGTTATTCAAACTTTTCCTCATTGTTTAACAAGAGTTGCATGTTTAACCATTTTGTATTAACTTTTCATTATTTTGTATCTAGATTTAGCAATTGTAAGGGCTCCCCCTTTTCTTGAGTTTGTACCAGTCTCCTTCTGGAAGTTCTTGGCTGCTTATGTAGATTGTGAAGCGGCCCCTGACCTGAGCACCTGCCAGAGCAGGACAGATGGCAGGTGTGACTGAAAAACCCGGCTCTTCTGATTAGCTGTCTTAGAACCCTCCAGTGTGAGACTGGCAGGGGTGTGGACATCCTTCATCCCAAGGACTGGTCATGCTGCATCGTGATGGACCCTCCCCCAACCCCATCCACCAGCAGAAGTGGAAGAGTTGAGTTTCTACCGTGCCCCAGCCTCACCCCCTGAAGATCCTTATGGCACAGCAATAGCATCTTCTAGAACTGGACTTCTTTGCCCACTGTGGCCCCTGGCGCTCTGGTGGTGGGGCAGGGCAGTGGGGAGGTCTGCCAGCCTTCCCTGGGAAGCCTGTGCCCAAGCGACGTCCTGAGTTCTGTGAGCCCGCAGGACTCGCATTGTGTGTGTGGGCTTCACATTGCCTCTCACTGTGTTCTCCTCACCTGAAGCCTTAATCCCTGAATCCTGCCAGTGAGCGCCTACTTTCAATATCAACGTGTCTTTTTTGAAATGCTTTTCTGTTTCATAGGCCCATAGGACCTTCTGAAATGATTTCCAGAATATTTTATCCAGAATATTTATCTCCTTGGTAACACACATGGCAACTTTTTTTTTCCCCCAGGAAAGTTCCTACTAGTGCAGGGGCTTAAGCCAACTTGTGGATCAGTTCCTGCCAATTGCCTAATGTCCCAAAACCTCATTAGGCTCCTTGGAATCCTGGACTTCACCTTCCTCCTCTGGTGACGGACTAGATCATGATAGATACAGGTTTTTTCCCGTACCATTTAAGTAGAAATGAGACATGCAGAGGAAAAGGGGTTTATGGTAGGTTGGGGAGGGTGGAAAAGGTACCTAGAAATCCCAGCTGGAATAGCCCACCCACAAGGTGTCAACCCGTAGCCCCTGAACCTCCAAGCTGGACTTACCACCTGCCTTTCAAGGGCATGGATTTTCTGAGGACCCATGCTGGAAAGCAGCATCCTTTAAAGAAAAGATGTGCAGATGTGAGCTTGTAGTCTGTGGAGTTGGTATAACAGGGAAGAAAGAGCTGCATCTGGACGGTTACCTCCCAGGTGATCTGTCTGTCTTTTTGAAAGACCATTCAGATTTCTTTCCTCTTCTCATAAATCCCAAATGTCCCTTCAGGTTCTCCTGGGAGCTGAGGGGGTGAGGGATTGTTGAAACTTCTGCCACCCTTACTACCATTTAGAGTCTAGTACTCAGTGGTGTTTAGTTGTCTCTTATTACAGTGTTTAGATTTTCATAGTGGCACCGTCTCCTGAGATTAAATGTGAAATCAGAAGTTAGGAAATCCTGCAGAGAGTCCTAGAGTCATGGTGTTTTGCTCTGCCTTTGGAAATAAAGGAATATGAGAGGGAGAAGACCTGGAGGACCTGGGCTCATGGGCCTGCATCCTGCCTGACCTGGGCATTCTCTTTCTGGAGGCAGACTCTGGGGTGGTTCCTTCCCCATCCTCCTGGGAAGCGATGTGAAAGGTGTCCAAGGCAGGGAACATTTAAATTTTAATGCTTGCTGTCTCTCCTTCCCAATCCCCCTCCCCCAATGTATCAGGATAACATTTCTAAAACCAGGAGTTTACATTTATAATTTTTAAAAAAACACACTTTTCAGCTGAAAACTTGCATGTTTTGGTTAAAGATTCCCCCCTTCTCCCTGCATCTGGGATTCAGCTCAAGGATTCAATGTCCTGCTTTGGGTGACTGTATTTTGCAAAATCACCCCCAGGAAGTCAGAAAACAAGTCTCAGTTCTTTCATCCTCTGGGTTTGGGGAGTGTCACTCACCATGGTAACATGGGGGAGCCTGCACTCCATCCCGGTGGATGTCAGAGCATCCTCCCTTTCTTTGATACACCTTTTCAAGATGATAAATTCTTATTACTTGTAACTTGGTTGTATTTTATATTAATAGCCTTTAATAAAGCCATTTAAAATATGTGGGATGTGTATTTTGAGGCCTTTACCAGAGTCAGGAAGCCTATTAAGATGCTTGCTGTTGAACACAAAAAAGAATAAAGGATTCACACAAGTTTAAGGCAGTGAAACTCCTCAGCAAGTCGACTTGGCCTGACAGGCCCAGTGCCTTGTCCCGCAGGTGAGTGGGCAGCAATGGTCCAGGCACAATGGTCCCACACAGCCCTCTGGCGACGTGGAAGCCTTGGCAAGTCTTTTCAAAGACAGAATTACTGCATCAAGTGACTGGCTCAGAAAGCTTCTCCTTGAGTCTTGTTGCAGCTGATTTTTCCGGAAGAATCCTTTTCCATTCACGACAGTATCGAAATGGTAAATTAGCAATGGTAGATGGAGAATTTTTACCTGTAATTTTCCGTTATCACATGTGCAATGGGTCCTGGCTACCTGGGACTGAAGATTTCTGGGTGAGCAAGTAATGGTACTTGCTGATTTACTGGTATATTGTGATTGTGATGAAGTTTGTGGGTCAACAAGCGTTGGATTATTACATTTAGACATTAAAAGAAGAGGCAAAATAGCTCCTAAGCAAGTAGTTTTGGTAATTTTTAGGGTAGCACAGAATGTGATAGTAACATGTCTTTTAAAGGGTCTCTCTGCAAAAAGAAGACATAGAGACATAGAGACAAAACTCACCTGGGTGTATTCAGCACCTTGCAGCCAAGGAGGGAGGTGATGACTCTGGGGAGAAGACTGTTCTCCCTTGTGACTGGGGCTGTTTCTAGCACTTTTTTTGGTCTGATCCCTTGCTCATAGACCATATTCTGATGAACTTACCAGTTTTCCAGGTGCCTTGATAACAAGAAGTGGGCACTCTAAGAAGTCAGTGTTTCTGAAACCCACCCAAACTCAGAAAATGAGTGAACAGTTCTGCATATAAGATCAACTTAAAAATCAAGAGCACCAATGCTAACTAGAAACTTAAAAGATACCAACTCATAATGGCAATCACAAACAAAGCAGCCAGGCGCATGTAAGCTTCTGTAAAGGAAGCTGTGAAAATGAAATAGATGATGTGATTATCTTGGTTGGGATAAGTTATTGTTAAAAAGATGCTAATTTTCCAAATTATTTTATAAAGTTAGTGCCACTTCCACAAAAATCACAGTTGTAACTTGAGGAATTTGACAGTTTATGAGAAATTGTAAATGGAGAAATAACGATTCTCTGAAGAATAAGGGACACTTTGCTCTATTGGTTTGGAAACATGTTGAAAGCAGGGACAAGGGTAGGATCAGATTAGTGAAATAGAATGGAGGGCTAAAGAACAAATCCATGCATTTATGGAAACTTTTTATAAAAAGCTGGCGGGGAAGGGAGGATCCTTACTATCTGGAGCGAAAACAAGATTGCTACCCAGCACTACATAGAAGATGAGCTTCAAAGGGATCAAGATCAAATTATAAAAGTAACAGTGTAAAGGCAAAGAAGGACTTCTTTAATTAAAGTTCAAATATACAAACCATAAAGCAAAACATTGACAAAATTCATACATGAAAATTTAAGAATTTTGTCCGTGAAGTACAGTACAGATAGTTGAAAGGGGGTTGGGACCTATGTCAATTCCAAAGAAGGGCAAGCATAGGACACTTCCTGAAAATGCAACAAAAAGCCACCGGCGTCCTCAAGGGAGAATTAACATGAGAGGAAAAATCCTAATTTAGGATTAAAATAATTGATAGAGAAGAAAAAATTAGCTGGATATTAACAAGTGTTGACAGAAATGGGATCATGCAGTGGTTCTCAACTGGGTGCGATTTTACCCCCTGACCCCTGGGGATATTTGGTAGTATTGGGAGACATATTTTGTCATCACAACTGAATATGCTGTTGGCATTGAGTGGTCACAGCCAGGGATACTGCCAGACATCCTGCCGTGTACAGGACAGCTCCTTACACGGAACAATCGTCTACAATGTCAACAGGAGAAGAGAGGCTGAGAAAGCCTGGAACAGAGAAAGTGCACAGTCATTGTGTCCAGAGTTATTGGATACTCTTTAGCCTAAGTAAATATGCCTATGCCCTGCAATTCCCAGTTCTCTGGGATACAGATACATGTCTTATATTCTTTTTTTTTTTTTTTTTTTAAATATTTATTTATTTATTTATACAAGCACTGGGTACAGCCAGAATGTGGGAGGGTGAGAGAATTCACCAGAGCCAGAGCGGGGAGCAGAACAGGCAGACTGATGAAGTACACTGCTGAGGGGAGCAGCGGGCGGCAGGAGAGGTCTGTGCGCCATGTGGGACCCTCACCCGGTGGCCGGGGATCGAACCGGTGTTGCAGAGGCTGCAGGCAGCTTCACAGCCCGGCGCTCAACCACTGCGCCACCAGGGAGGCCCATGTCTTATATTCTTGCACTGGCTTTTGAGGGACTGTTACAGGGCTGTTGGCTGCAGTGCTGTTTGTGGTAAGTCTATCATCGGAAGGTGATTAGAAAGAATGTAATGGACCCACCCCGTGGATTATTAGTACTTAAAAGTACACGTAGCAACACAGATGAATCTGAACAGATACATTACTCAGTGAAGAAAAAGCAAATAAAGTGGAATACAGAACACTACCTTTTGCATAAACTAAAAATACATGTACCTAAAACAAGGCATGTTTAACCAAATACTGTCTATGGGAGGAGAGGTGGTAGAAATAGAGGTCAAATGGCCTCCCTGGTGGGGCAAGGGGTTAGGTCTCACCACTATGAGGCTATCCACAGCCACTGCAGCATAAGTTCGATCCCCGGCCAGGGAAGTGACCCACATGGCGCAGCAGACCTCTCCTGTCTCACCTGCTGCTCCCCTCAGCAGTATATTTCAGTGGGGAGCCTGTTCTATTACCCACTCTGTGTTTAGTGAATCTCCTCACCCCCCATACCTCTGGCCTACACCCCAGGTCTTGTATGCATAAATATACAAAGCAAATCTTTTTTTTTTTATTTTTTAAAGAAGGGTAAAGAAGGAAATATAACAAAGATCTTGAATGGACCAATGGTGATCATGGGCCAGTAGGTGCCAGCTTGCAAAGAATTTGATCTCTCACATATCTAGGATCTGTTATTGATCTCTCCCAAGAGACAGGATATTCCCTTGCTTAGCTGGTGGGTTATGTCTGAAGTGACCTTAGGACAATGTTGATTGTTTCTTTTGTGGCTTGGTTCTGTTTAATCACAATTTGTGTGATTCTGTGACTATACATCAGCTAACATGTACCCACTCTAGTGGGTCAACTGAGACTTCTGTGACAGCAAGAAGGAGACTAAGCAGATTGGAGGAGAGTAAGGGATTAGTATCACCTAATACTCTGTTCCTTTCAGGACAAATCACACTGGCTGTGTGAGAGGGAACAAGACACTCTGAAGAGAATATGATTCCATTAATCGGTCAGTGACTTCACCACAGCAACCTGAAGTTTTTCCCAACTAAGAATTTGTCTCATGATAAAACCATGGACAGTAATATGTGGAGGAATTTAAAGAATAATCTAAAAATTTCTACCCACATTACAGATAGTGTGGAAAACATAACTTACTGCTTTAACACAATTAGGCATTGTAAAACATTTGCTTCCAATCTATTTGTGACAATATCCAGGTCTTAGTGGAAAGCATGTGTCAGTGGGACAGTGCCACCCATGTGGGAGTCTGGCAACCACATGGGCTCTGGCAATGCCCTTCATACCATGTGGTCCATTTCCTTCCTTCTACTGATTTATGCCAACCTCTGGCCCCAAGATTATAATTTTTTTCTTTGTTGTTCTTACTATGTGTGAGCCTGGTACAGGGCACTGGGCATTCAGTGTATACGATACAGACATAATTACTACCCCCATGGGGTTTATAGTCTAATGCAGGAGGCGGGATAAACATATGACCACAAACAATTTTTGACTTGCAAATTGTTAGGAGGAAACAAGACTTCTGTTTATGGCCATGATAGAATAGCCAAGACTAGACATTTGCCCTTTTGTTAGGAACAAATAGGCAATTGGAGAAAATTTATGAAACAATGATTTGGGGACTTTGGCCTTCAGCCAGTGCAGGACTGTGATCCTGAGAAAAGGGAAACAAGAAGTAAACCTTATGATTTTCCTGGTTTTCTGACTTGAGGTATTTTCTAGGCTGTGTTGCAGGAAATCTTGATGAGCTGAGGAGGAAGAATTTGGGGGAAAAAAGTGAGCTGGAAATTGCAGAAGGAAACTGTGCAGAGAAAGAGCTCCAAACTATGTATAGGATTCCCTTTGAGTATATTGGAGGCAATTTCACGACTGTAGCACAGAGAAGAGACAATACAAATGGCCTGGCAATCTTGCTGAGGTGAGGAGCATTAATTTGGAGTTGGGGAGGTCATAGGAATAGAAATGAAACAACAGAATTCCAAAGAAGAATGTTTTCAGAAGTCTGCATAGGGATTCTTTGAACTCTTTGGCTAAAGATCAATTTGTACATGTGGACTGTGAAACATTAATAGGCTGGGCCAGAACAACCTCCTAGAAAATAGCAGTTATCTAAGAGCTGTAATAAGAGAAACAATTTGCAGAGTCCACCCAAGGCCAGGAATCATTTAAGTTCCCTCTAGCTGGAATGCAGATCCTATTGAATATGTGGGGGATCCCATCAGACATCTTAGAAGAGACAAAAACTGGAAGTAGTTCTAAATCAGCCTTAGAATAAAGAGTACTCTGCATATGCCCTAAAAGAGTTTCATTTCTTAATATTTTTAAGAACTTTTAAAAAAAATTTTAAGATCTTATTTATTTATTTTTGCATAGAAGAACTGGGGTGTAAGCCAGAGGTGTGGGGAGTAGGGGGATGAGAGGATTCACCAATGACAGAGTGGGGAGCAGAGCAGGCAGATTTACTGAAATACACTGCTAAGGGGAGCAGCAGGCCAGACAGGAGAGGTCTGCTGTGCCATAGGTGGGTTAGATCCCTGGTCAGGGATCGAACTCAGGCCACTGTGATGTGCCATCACAGTAATAGTGCTGAGACTTAACCTCTAGGCCACCAGGGAGGCCCCCTAGAAAAGTTTTAAAGCAAGACGTGAAAGAATCCAATTCACAAATAGTTACCTGCCAGAATATGTCCAGTTTTCCTTATAGGAATATTACAAAATCTAGTACTAAACATAATATTCACAATATTCAGCTACCAGTCAAAAATTACTAGACAGAGATAAACTGGAAAATGTGGTTCATAAACAGGAGAAAAATCAGTCACTAAACCATCTGAGAAATGATAGCGTTTGTGGAGTTAGCTGACAGGACCTTAAAAAAGCTATTTTAAAGGGCCTCCCCTGGCGGCGCAGAAGTTGAGTGCTGGGCTGCGAAGCTGCCTGCAGCCTCTGCAGCGCCCGCCTGTTCTA